CCTTTTTTGCAAAAGTCACGCACAGTTTTTCGCTAATTTTATTGCCACTATTTTTTTGATGTCTTTTCACCCAATTTCTTCCGAATTGAAAGAAATTTGTCGATTTTCTACTGTGCGTGAAAACTGTGCGTGGGTTTTGCAAAAAAGGGCGGGTACGCTCCGCCCCTCATTTATTTGAGTTTGTGTGTGCAACATTTTTGGATCGACAATAAACTTCTTGAAATATGGGAATTTTTTCTGGTTTCAATTTTGACAGTCACGTTAAAATTATTTCTGACTTTTTGACTATTTTTGACAGTCACGTAAAAATGATTTTGACTCAAGTCGACTTTTCCAACTTCCAGTTTGTTTGACTTTTTGACGTAGCCAGATTTTCCATTTTTTGACAAAAGTCATGGACTGTCAAAAATGGTAGTGACCACGCACCCTAGTATGCATTGCTCTATTCGCCTGCCCGATATTTGAAAAGCTTGGGAATAAAATAAAGATTGATTTGACTATCTCATTATTAGAAGATAGTGATGCCTCCATAATGTTGTATCTGTTAAATACCAAGTTCCGTAATCCAACCGGTTCCTAATTTTTATGATTTCCTTTTAAAACGCTTATCTATTATTCTCCTTTTTTATTAAACTCTATGGTTTAATATTAGTAAATTAGAAAAAAATTCGTTTCCTTTTTAAAAATTCTCACAGAACTAAATTTTCGAACTCTCGGTTATACTCCAGATGAAATGCAAATTTCCGCTTCTCCCATCCCCCACTTTTCTTTTTCTTTTTTTTTTTGAAAAAAAGGAAAAGAGCTCGAAAGATCTCTACCAATTTTTCACCAAAAAAGTCGAACGCAAATGCTCATATTTTGTATAGAAAGGATTTATAAAACTGCCAAATCAAACCTTCAAAATCTCGTTTTTCATTTAAAAAGAAGAAGTCTTCCGGCAGTTTCCCTTGGAAATTGAATTTTCGTCTTTTTTCCATATTTTTTTTGCATTTCAACTTGATGGGTCGTTTGGTTTTTTGACAGTAATGGAAAACAAAAAAGAAGAAGTGAAAAAACGAAAAGATTCTCAGAGAGTGAGATGGGCTCTTGAAACCCATTAGAAATGCTTCGAATGGGACCACTTGAAGGTTTCAAACCTGTCACATGGCACCTCAATGCACACAAATCATGACAGTCCCCATTTTTGTGACCTGCAGTTTACTTTCAAGGCCTATTATTTACCGTACTACGATAGTTTCAGGATAACACTTCCCGCCAAGGATCATGCCCATTACTGCTGCCTCTTCTCTCTTACACAAGAAGCGTTCCTGTCAACCGCCTCATTAGTAGAGATGACTAGGCCCGGGAATGAACAGTCCTCCCGCGGTGTTCTCTTTTATATATTTAACTTTTCCCAATTATAGTTTAGATTTTTCATCACACCTAGTTATCCATCTATTTTAGAACCCCTTTAACCATGGAACCATTCTCTATTTCATCTCTTATCATCTTCTTAACTTTCTTATTTTAGTTTTTGCCTTTTTAGTTGATTCTTTTGTTTAGATTGAATTTCCCCATTCAACTTTCTTCTTTCTAATTTAGATTCACAATAAACCTTTATAAATTAGAACCATCATTCTTTATCTGTGATTGGGTCTAGGTAAAGTGGAAGGGGCAAGCTTTTCCAATAACATCAGGAATACCAGGCTTATCAAAGTACCTCTTCGCCTACCAATCATTTTTGCACCCGCAAAGCCATAAATCTACAGAATTTCATAATAGTATTCACCCAGTGCAATACGATTCCCAAATGCATTCAATCATTCCAAAATTCGCGCATTCTTCTGACTCACCTGTCATGGCACCTCCATAACTCCCTCTCTCTCTCTCTCTCTCTCTCTCTCTCTCTCCACATTCCATTTTTTCCATCCTGATGTCCGGGGCGGAGCCATCTCTCTTCGAAGGACCGTGGCGTCCTGCGCCTTTCTCTCTCGCATTTTGCTCGTTTTCCGCTCGTGTGCATCTGCGTGGTCCCTCCTTTCTCTTCTTCTTTCCTCCTGGATTCTTCCCCTCCCCCTACTACCCACCATCCCCGTGTCCCTTCTTCTTCTTTTCCATTTTTTCTTCTTTTCTTCTTCTTCTTCACACTCAAAAGCTCCTCGGGACCCTCCGTCACTTCTGTTCTTCTCACCCCCAATTGATATCAATTCGTGTTGTGTGTGCTCTTTCTTTGAGAATCCTTTCTTTTCTCTTTACTTTTTTTTCTCAATTCGACGATCTCCTTTTTTTTCAAACTTTATTCGAAATAATGCAAGAGAAACCCCTCTTTTCTTGCACTCAATTTAGTTTTTTGTTCCTTTGACTCCCAATCTTTTTACCCTTTTTTGAATTCTTTCCCTTTTTCACTTTTTTCTTTTCTTCCAAATCCGATTATCGTGCTCTTGGGAAAACTGCACCGCGTAATTCCAGAGTTCATCATCTTCTTCTTCTTCATACTGCCCAAATCTCTCTTCAACATCATTCAAAATCTACCAAAATATTCCCTTATCCGACAACTCGTGGTCGTGGTGACCGAGTTGAACCATCCGAATACCATCATCACAAGACTACCATGACCAAAAACGGAACAATGTCTTCACAGCACGAAGAGATGGGTACAACTAGTCCACCAAGTGGCTCCGGTACTTCGACGTCGGCTGCATCGCCTCCAGAATATGCCACAGCTGCGACGTTACGTTCCACACCAGCTCAGATGTCAGCGGCGATAACGGTTGATTTGGTGGTTGCAGCTCAGGTTGGGTTTCTATTTTATATCTGAGAAATGGGAAGTCTGTGTTCGAAAGATTCTGAAGTTCCTACTTCATTATCTTTGAAGATTGCCTGACTTCATAAAGGTAAAACTATTGAGCATCGTAAAATATTTCATTTTAATCTAGTTCGCAATTTTGATTCCTGTGAGAAACTATGATGGTTTTCGACTCCAGATTCGAACGACCATTCTGAGAGGACTATCTAGAACCCGGTTTATTCATGATAATGCTCTGACGTAAAAAGCAGTTCTGAATCGTTGTCTGGATAATCGAAAAGTACTTATTCCGCAGTTTGTCCGATTAGTCCAATAGAGCGTACATGTTCATCGACCACCTTGTACACTTCCATTCTCCTCTCAATCATTCCTTGTTTCCCAAGAAGTATTACGTTCGAAGCTACATGTACCAGAACTTAATCGAACTCTCGTTCTCTCCCGTTTCCTTCTATCCAAATTCCAAAGTGAAATTTGTCGTCTCATCCCACTCAAACTGCCTTTTTTGACTGCCGAAGCAGTTGCTTCTGCATTGTGCACACACAAAAAACCAACGGCGACGAGTCCGTTGAGTCTAATTCGGTTGGCAAGTCGAGTATGGAAAAGTGAGAGAATTCAGACGGTCGACTCAATCAAGAATTCAGTTGGCGCCTCTTTTGTCGCGCCAAGGCGACAAATGGGGGAAGACGAAGAGGAGATGGGAGGGAATGTGAAAAGTTCAACATCAAATCCATCGAATTTGCAATAATAAGAAAAATATCTCATTCCAAAATCCTGAGAGCTTCCTGTCTTTGATTGAACCAATCGGAAAACGAACGACAATGTTTTGATGGGACCTTCCAATTGTATTCGCTTGACTCATGCCGTCTGGTTCGTGTTGTATGCATTCAATAAGTCCTCTCTTCAATTTTAAGGGACCCACTAAAATTCGTTCTTTTTCTTTCTCTCGTTCAATTCTATTTCTTCTTCTTCTCTATGTTTTTCATGCTCTCAATTTCCAAGAGCACTAAGAAGGTTTTTTTGGAACCAATGGATATGGAAAAATGAAGAAATTTATGAGGCTTTTCTGAAAATAAAGGGCACTAATAGTAGTTGTATTAGGAGCTGAGAAAAAAAACCACAAATCATAGAAAAAGGTCAGAAGGGGGGAAGATGAAGTACCTGATAAATGTGTGAGGTCTCACGATTTCACAAACTGCAAACACAGCAAACACACATAAAATATTAAATTTCTGTGGTTTTTTTTTCAGAGAGAAGCAAACTTTCTGCGAATGATTGATCGGAAAGCTCCATTGCTCTACGAGCCAGATGTTGTGAATCATGCACTTCGAAGATATGAGGCATTCTGGCTACCAATGCAGGTATGGTCAACAGTATTATTGAACCAACAGGAAGATAAAAGGATAAGAATCGAAAAAGTTTGAGAGAATGTATTAACTTTTTTTGAGAAATTTAATAAAAGCGGTTTAGTAGTGTCGATAACTTTTATATCTTGTTTATCAGCTTACATACTGTACCCCAAAAAAAGTTAAACTTTCAGATTTTTTGTCAGCGAGATTGAGTTGGTTTAACTAGTTTCAATTTCAAAATTCCTCGAGTCCCCAAAATTTCGGAATAGTCGAATTTCCAAAAATGTTGAATTTGGAATCCTAATTATTCGAATACCCAAATTTCGGAAGTTTCAAATGTTTGGATATTTGAATTTCAGGATTACTGAATTTTCAAAATTTTTGCTGTCCGAAAGTTCCGAATTTCTAAATTTTCGATTTACAAAAATTTTACATTTCTTACTATTAGTTTACCATTTTCTAAATTTTTAATGTTTCGAAATTTCGAACTTAAAGATGTTTCGAATTTCCGAATTCCCCCAGATTCCAAATCTTCTAAATACCCCGATTCGGAAATTTTATAATTTCCATCAATGTTCCAAATATTATCTAAATCCAAATTAAGTTCCAAAAATATTTTCCAGGCCGCCCATCCAGATCTGAACGTGATACCGCCACTAGATGTTCACTGGGTTTGGCATACTCACATGCTGAGCCCGATTCATTACCAAGAGGTTCGTTTTAAAATGAGATTTCCGGAACCGTTTAAAAATGTGCTCCACCTTCTTGATCCCTATCAGAGGCATGTCAAAAATGCGTCAAGTATCACATATCAAAGAGTGTCATAAGAGAGCAGACAAAAGTCAAGAGACTCAGATTTGTATGACATTGAAAAATGAGACTTGTCGGTGAAGAGGGTGTTTGTGTATGTACGCGTGTGTGTGGGGGTTCTTTCAGGTTCAGATGATTTTTAAGAGAATGTCGATAACTTGAATGGGGCACTAGAGTTTGGGCTTATATTTGAACTCCAGTTGGTTTAGCTTTTCTCTATATGCTCTTCTTGATGTATTGAGATGATTTCCGACGATGAACATGACAAGATAACCGCCCGTAGCGAGCCTATAGTGAGCGGTAATTTTGTTTTCGGGAAGCTGGGCATGCTCTGTGTCTTGACTTTTCAGTAAATGTCCGTCTGAACGGATTACGATGACACTCGAGAGCGTTGTTTTTGTGAAGGAGAAGAAGACGTATACATGAAGACTGCCCCTCCAATAGGAAGATGGACTCACTGGTACTTTTGGGGGTTCCGATGGGTGGATGGATGGTGCGATGCTCATTGAGCACAAACTGGGGAAGGGTCATCTTTGACTTTTTTCTTCTTTCCTCTTTTGCTCTTCTATTTATGTCAAAATATGTGGAAAGGCGTGAGTCCATGAAGAGATTGGATTGTCGAAGGGTGGGAGGAAGAGAGAGAGAGGGAGAGCGGCAAAACACACCGAAAGTAGGCAACATCTTCGAGACAACGACATCTTTCCCTTGGGGGCATATTCAGATGCCCTTGGCACAAAAAAGAATGCGACACTTGTTATGTTTATACATAAACATAAAATGCTCCGACCCGGGGGGAGAAGAAAAAAGATTGCACAAAATGAGGCGCCAATTGGCCGGATTAAGATAATGAGAAATGAGTTGGAGAAGGAAAAGAAGGAGCGGGGATGAAGAAGAAGAAGAAGAAGAAAGAATAGAATGAGAAAATAAATAAAGGCAATTTTCAGGATTGCGAGAAGCTAGTTGGAAAAGTGATTGATCACAAGTTGCTTTCTTCGGATGAGATTCAGAAGAGGTAATTATAAATCCAAAAGAATTTTCAAAGGAATCTGAAATTATAGATACGATAGCAGTGTTCGAGCATGGGATGCATACTGTAGTCCAGAGCCATACGACTTCTTGGCCAGTCAGACACCACCAACTGCATACAAAACAAAATGTAATTATGATATTGCTGGAGCAGTTCAGAGACAGAGAAATTTTAATTATCAAGTGAGTTTCTTTTTCGAACAAAACTTCGAAAAATATGACTATTAGAAGCTATTTATTTCTTTCAATTCAAAGCAATACCAATAGAAAACAGCACGAAAAAGCTGCAGCCTCTAGAATTCAGAATTCGTAAGTTGTAATTTATTTTGTGGAATTGAAGTATTATTCTGGTTTAAAAAAAATCGGAGCTTGGAGAAGAGAAACGTCGATGGCCGTGGCCGAAGGTCCCACAACGACAACTACCGTAACCTAAAAATACTTTCTCACTTTCCGGATTTATTATCTTGACTATCGTGCGTTTTCAGTAAATTTTTTCGCTATCAAAAGTATTTTACCGACTTTGTGTGGGAAAATAACTGAAAACTCAGTGAAAAATTAGAAAATGAATACGGAAAATTAAAACATTTTAGATTACGGTAGTTTTCGTTTCTCTTCCACAACTCCGATTTTTGTACCAGAATAATATCCATTGATCAGGTTTCTATGATAAATCACAAAACAGTTTAAGGTGCTTATCACAATGGAATGTTTCCGGTCTTTACGAGACAACATTATTTCCCAAAATATCATTTCATCACATTGAGAATGTGTATTGTGTTCTGATGAATGATTGACTGAGTGTTTCAGAAAAATAATCAATCAAAACTTCGTAGCAGTGTTAAAATAACTTATTGACCAATTAGCGGCTTGTCTCGTTCCGTTTTCCCTCTTCTTTTTTCACCCATTCACTGCATCCATCAATCACTTTGATGCGACAAAAGTCTACGCCGTTTAGCTTTCACAGACACTGATCCTTTTCACAAAAATATCGCTCTCGGTCGTTTCTTTCATTCCAAGTGTCAATCGTTCGATTATCCACCGATTATCCTCCAAGGCAGTTGTTGTTCTGAGGAGGGGGACGCACAAAATTCATTGGGTTTTTTCAGGTATCACTTCCACACTACACTTCTGCCAAATTTCTTTCGGATGCTGTTAAAAGATACATACAGTTCCTTCTTCTCAAACAAACCTATGCAGATCAATTCCTGACGCCGTGCTACGATTTCGATATTATTTGGCATACGCATCAGGTAAAAATTCAGTATTGGAATACCGAAAAAACTTTATTAAAATGCCACCCAAACCGACAACTTTAAGTCTATATATCTCGTTCTCTGTGAAAGATATCAAAAAGTGGTCAACTGATAAATTATTTATCATAGTATCAAAAATATTTTTCAGTTGACCACTTTCGATATATTTTACAGGAACCGAGATATGTACACTCTAAGTTGGCAGTTTTCTATCAAGGCTTTCTATCAGAGTGTTTACGGTAGATTGAGTTTTGTGAACAATATTCTAGAGCTACTAAGTTAACGGGAAATCTTCCAAATCCTAGGAATTCTATGAGGTCCCCAATCTCAAAAAAAATCAAAGGAAGGGCAAGGAATCTTTTTTTGATTATTTTTTATGAATCATCAACAGGTTTTCCCCGTATTGTCTTTCAAATGACACATCGGAACAAGCATGGACAATATCTGATCCCAATCAATCATATTTTCAATTAAGAAACCAAGAAACCCGAATCTGTTAAACTCAAATCTGTAACCAAAAAGATTATTTTCAATTAAACATCCGCAAATAGTCATTCGCTCATCTCACCATATTTTCATATGTGCAGAAAGATGAAAAAACAAAAAAAAAAGACAGCCATTTTTTCCTGACATCAACCACATAAATTATAGATGGAGAGTGCCTAAAAAGCGAATGACTTGTTTTCAGGTCCATCCATCCAGTTATCTGAGGGACTGCACAGCCATATTCGGTTCTCTTCTGAAGCATGATGACACTGTGAACGACAGAACTAAAGGAAGTAAACTTCTGAAAGGAGAGGCTCTGACAAAGAAATTATGGACAACACACTTTGAAGAACCATTCTGGAGACGTGGATGCATGTTCAGGGGACACAATGCTCCGGCGTTCCTTGGATTCGAATCTCAGGATCTTGCATACATTTCATATGGGGATATTCATGTTCCATCGATTTCTTTGAAGGATATTCCAGTTCAAAGAGAACAATTGAGACTAAAACTGTGCTATGGAAACAAGAAAGTGACGACTTTTAATGCGGATCTCTCTCAAAAACAGGTCACCAAGTCCGGGTTTTCTCTAGTTTGGCAGCCAACAGAGAGTTCGACTTGCGCATCCATTGTTAAATTCCCATTCGAAAGACGAGCAGCCAAAGATCTGACAGTTGAATTGGAGATATTTGATAAGATGTTCCTCCAAAGAAAAGATCTTATCAAGTTGATTGGAAAGGCAACTCTGGATCAACTATTGCCTCCGAGCAACTCAAAAAGTGCTCACAATGTGGCCGAACTGCAACTGAAAGCTTCCAAAGACTCAGAATTCACTGCAAAAGTAAATGTAACAACAAGTGTCAATTTGAATAGGGAATTGCAACTTCTGGTCGGAGACTTCGTGGAAAGACAATTATCCGGCGATTCTCATTTAGCATACCTTGCACAATGTGCATCATTGAATCGTGGGTTGTTGAATGCCAACTCTACAGTACATATTGCATCTCACAGGTAGGATTAGAAGTCCTGAAAAGGTAGAATTATTAAAGCTTTTAGTATGCTCGACACTCGAGATGGAACAAAATACACTGTCCAAGTGATCCATTCGGCACCTCTTCTCCTATCAATGATTCTGGTATATGGAAGAGAGCAACGGCTTCTTTCGATGGCTCATCTGATCGGAGCAGACTCTTTGCCGTCTCGTGATCAATTGGACAACAATCTGGTACCTGTAAGTTTATACATTCTCATTTTTTAAAATGAACTATTATCTTCCAGTTCCTTCCACATCTTTCAAATGCTGAAGAAAGAGCATTTGTGATTCTGAATAAAGAAGGAGATTATGCGATTATCAAGGGAAAATGGTCAGGATTCTGTAGAAAACAATCAGCAACAAAAGGACAAAAAGCGAAGCCAGGAAACCCGGGACGTCTTCATGTGGACGCTTTCAACCTGCTGAAGAATACCGTTCAGAAGCTGGAAGTTCCATCAGCAGATGGATCAACATTGTTCCTTATTGGAGGTAATAATTTTAGAGTAATTAAAGGCGGAGGGACATGGAACAAAACATTTTCTCAAAATTTTGTTCATATACGCCCCTTGCGGAGTTGAACATGTCCCCCTTTCTTTTCATTTAACAGATTACATGAACCTTTAAAACATGTAATGAGTGTAAACAGGGACCATATTTACCAACTGAAAAATTGTTTCAGATGCTCAAGCTCGTCTTCCTGGAAAGAGAATCGAATGCCGATCTACGAATACAGCTGAACAGATTGCTAGCATTTTCTGCGTTTCTACACTATTCGTTCTCTGTAATCCAGACAAAGTTCGGTCTCGAAGTGACAGTACTTCTGTTGGTCATCAAGCCCATAAGTGGCCATTGACATTGGCATGCGGATATGGAGGACAACTTCCAACAAATCGATTACTCCTATCCTCTGATCAGGATGGATTAGGTGGGTTTTCGTGGGAACAGACTTCAAATATCCTGAAAAAACTGTCTAGCATAACAAAAGTTACTATTTCAGGTGGGTGTGAAATTGCTCCACTTCTGATGTGCGGCGTTGGTTGTGACGGAGCCGCATGCGGGGCCTGTGGAGCGTGTGGAGCCTGTGGAGCCTGTGGTGGGTGTGGTGGATGTGGAGGATGCGGCGGGTGCGGTGGATGCGGATAGAACATTTCTCTAAATCTCCTCTATGCTTTTTTATTTCTTCGAATTTTTGCTTAAAACCTATCACACTTTCTCTTTCAATTTTTCTGGAACATTCCACTCCATCATATGACATCATTTCATTTGTTCTTTTCTAAGTAAAAACACACATTACCATCTCAAATTATGTCTTCATGATATACTTCATTATTTGCCCCCCTATCAAGAAAAGGTAAACACCAAATGGAAAATTTGCAGAAAATATATTTGTATGTGATTGATTGCTATGTATTTATTTGGATGTCTTCATACAGTAATAAACTTATTTTTGGGTGGGATTCTGCAGAGTTCCTCGATGTTGTCTTTGCCATTTTCTGATGTCATATTGCAGATGTATGTGCATTTAAAATTCATGTTATGTCCATATGGATCAGTTTCATTTTTTACAATGGGACGTGTAGGGGATGACAACCAAGGAAGTATTCTAACCGAACAGAAAAAAGCATTTGAAAAGAACCGAGAAGCGCGAAAAAAGGATAAGATGAAGAAGAAGAATAGTCAGAAGATTGCGTTGATCGAAATCAAATCGTCGAGGAGGAAATTAAAATGAATTGTGAGCCTACCAATTGTGGCCTATGTACAAAAGAAGAGACTACACAATGAATGAGAGTGACCTGAAGGCAGTTGAAGAATAACAAGTGGAGACAAAAAAAATGGGAAGGAAAGGAAATATGAGGATGACAAACTAACGAATAAATGCATGGAAATGAGAAGCAAAGAGGTAATATGGTATGAGGTGGTAGGGACACAAAAAGACCAAGAAAAACACGGCAGTCTATAAGTTACTCCAGAAATGAAAATAGCGGAGAAAGGGAGAGTCTAGCTTAGTATTGGTAGGCAATTCGACAGAGTGGGGCAAAAAAAGGTAGTAGAAAACAATCGAAGGAGGTGGGGGGGGGGGGGGGGGGGAATCTTTGAAAAAAGTGGTCAATTTTTACACGTTATATATAGACACGTGTGAGTTCAATGCACGCGTGGAATCCGAATGAATTGGGTGACGGAGAAGAAGCAAAGCGATTGGGGTTGGATTCGAAATGTTTTGAGTTTATGCAAGGGAAACTCTCTTGAATCGGCTCGTTGGAGAGTCGAATGGAGCTGGAACTGATGGAGATCCACTTCCGTTAGTAGGAGTGGCCAGAGGGGAACTGAAAATTTAGATATATTTGATATATTTGGATAATTTTCGAGAGAGTTTTCAGTCTTGTATCCTACTCTGGACTTTTGATTTTCAAGAGCTTTACCGTACAACCTGTAATAGAAGGGCCCCTTAACTTTGAGCAAATTTATATTGATTCCTGTCAAAGATATAAAAAAGGTGTCAACTGACAAATTGGGTGTTATAATCCCAGGAATCTTTTTTTGATTGACACAATTTTGATATCTTGCACAGGGATTGAGAAAATTGAGTTTAGACTTGACCCTTCTATTACAGGTTTAACGGTATTTGCTGTTTCTTTTTGAGGTCTCGAAATAACTATCTTCTGCTAGACAACAACAGTGTTGATTTTTACAAGACAAGATACTGTAACTTTTTAAAAGCATCTTTTGTACTGATTCCGTTATCAGTTATCAGTGTTTTTTCAAGACCATCTCACTCTTTTTCATTTTTATTATTGAAAAAAAAGACAAAAAGTCTCTTTTTATCAGTGTGCCATATATATTAAATGATCCATCAATCTTTGATTTCTCTAGAGGCACGATAAAGAACAAAAAAAAAAAGATTTTTGCAAGAGTGGAGAGTGGAGATTCATGTGAATCGCACACCAATTTCCATCTTACTTTTGAACCCAATTTTACTTTTTCTTTTCTTCGAAGATTGCATCATGTGTTCTCCCTATCTCTTACCTGCTATGGGACGATTGTGATGGCGAGTGTGAAAGGGAAACCCGACGAACACGACGGGTCAATTCTTGAAGATCGGTGACTACCGTACCCACGATATTCTCAATGTTTTCGTTTTCACGGCTAAAAAAATATAATAGCTTTCTACCATTTTCCCGATGATAACCTACATTTCATGAGCCATCTGATGCAGTTCGTGTGTGATATTGACGAGTTCTTTGGGCGGATTTGAATTTCCAATAATCTGATCAACAAGAAAACCGTTTATCACCATTTTGAGCACATCCAAGTTGTATTTTTCAGAAACCAGAAGTAGCCGTTTAGCAAACGATGGATCCATATCAGCCTGAATCTAAAAGAGTTAATTGAACATAAATAATAGGCATGCAGTCGTGCAGAGTACTCACCTGGATCACTTCTTGACAAATAAATCGCTCGACTTCTTTTCGAAGAGCAGGAAGATGTGCATAGGTGAGGCCTTCAACGAGAGTCACAAAATCATCAAAATACTTGATTTCCCTCGAGAGAACCCTTTCGAAGTAGATATGGGCGAATGTCTGAAAAATTGGAAAACTGTAAATAAACAATACTATGTGAGAATGCGTTTTTTTCAGCGTTTTCAGATGAAATTGGAGACGAGAAAAGAGATATCTGATTTCAATTATTATTATAAACGATAAGCTCTATGATAAACAAACTAATTCAAAATAAAACTTTGAAATTTCTTAGTTAAAATATCCCCCTTTACTCCTCTAACCCTGATTTCTAGAATTAAGATGTTGCCTATTCTTATTCCTTTTCTTAGGAATCTCATCTGGAAATGCTTCTTCAGACTACATTCCAGACCTATTTTCCCACTGTTCTGTTGTCTTGTTTTTTCTTTTATTTCCGTAATCCGAACTCTCTCCTCAATTTTCATCTCTTCACGCATATGTGTTCCATCTGTGTGCCTATATGTTTTTCTCCTTATTTTTTCAGACTGCTCTGTCCCTTTGCTTGCGCGCTTAGCTTTTGCTCCCAAATATTGGAACAAAAAAAACATATTTATACCATATGATTGCCTTCTCCTTCTCCCCTTTTCTCACCCCATCCCAGCGATTCGGATTTCAAACAAACACTGGACAGATTAATCAGAATTTCGAGTGCTGGTATTTAGAATGTAACAAAACACTCACATTTCTCACGAGTTGTTCACAAATTTCACTGTGCTGATCGTTTTCTGAGATTTCGCGAGATACGGTGTCGACTCCGTAGATGAAGATCAAACGATGCACCGAAAACTTGTCGGCTTGTTTCTCATCGACATGCTCCAATTCAGGAATGCGAATCTTTCCGTTGATAACGTCGTCGACGAATTTATGCACAGCTTTCTCGATTCTCTGACTTCTGAACGCAGTTTCCACATCCGGAAGATAGTTGAGTGGTTCGAATAGAGACTCCTTCATTCGAATCTCAACAACCACCAACAGACTCGAGTCAACACTTTTGTGCAAGAATTCGGTAAACTCGGCTCGTCGCTCCTTTTCCACGTGGATTGGCCATCCGGATCCTCGTGAAAACTCGGTTGGTGTAAGAGCCAGTCCAGCGAATAGAGTCTCGTTTGTTGTCGGATCAAGAATCTGCGCTCGGACCTCTTCAACTGCCACCTCGGGACATGGTCCCTCTTTGTAGTAGAGATGCAGAAGCACGTGGCGATTGGAGTCAACGGCGGCTGGAAACAAAAAAAATGAGTGATGAATAGAAGAAGAGATAAGTGATGAAAAAAGAGAGGAAATCAGAAGAAATAGAGAAGATATAGGGGTCAATCATGTGATCGAAGAAAAAGAAGTGAAAAGAGGAGCGTCGCGCCCAAAAGTGCACGAAATGATAGATGGACAACCGTGAGAGGAATGTAAAAAGGAGGGATAGATTGGTTGAAATGTAACACCTGTCTTCAGATTTTTGTCTTGACTCAAAACTTTTTTTCTGACTCCACTATTGCCTCCACTGATGGTCCTCAGGACGACATGCGACGTCATCGAATGGAGTCCGAAAATCAAACGAATAGTACTAACAGTTGGAGAATCTGTTACACACACTCTGACACCTCTGTTCCAGCTTCGGAATCATGTTTCAGAAAAATGAGTCATCAATCGAGGAAAAGTGTCAAAATAACCAGAATCTATTTAGAAGCGGGAAGAAGAAGTTTCTGATTTCTCACAAAAATAACATAAGCTGATGTGCTTTGAGAGAGGGTCAAAGTACAAAAGTAAAGGTCAGAAAAAGAGGAAAATAGAGAAATACTCATAACTGAGGACTTTCAACAAAAGGAACCAAATGGATATATTGTACTATACTCACCATTATTGGATAACACATATTCATCGGTGAGCCGCAGCGCCCATGTGAACTGCACATGTTTGTAGGACGTGGAAAACGGCCTGGATACATTCAGAAGAATCGATTCATCTTCGATTTGTCTGAAATATAGGATACAATGAATTTGATGTTTTTTAAGGTGTTTTCTTGGAATTCCCCCAGTTCTTTCAGACTTTTTTCAACCGATCTTTTGCCCTCATCTTGATTTTTGATGCTGTAGCTAGCACCTTGTCTCCCGATTCCATGATTGCTTTTTTCCTTCTTATCAACTGGGGTTTTACAGGGAAATACTGTTTTATCAGAACCATTTTCGAGTCATCTCGTCAACAACCACTTTCCCTTTTTCCATGGATTCTGACTACAGTAATCAAACTACAGACAATTTTGAAAAAATGACTGGAACGGAGTGTTGGAAAGCATGCACAGTTTGTTCTGTTTTCGAACAGTAAACAAAATGTCTGCTGTGACCCCCCGAGAGGTGTTTGAAATCAGTTTGATTTTGGTTTAAGCCGAGTGCGTTTCGATAAGGAAATATTTGGTCAAACTGACACGAAACGACACTGTGAACTCAGCTAAAATCTAGGTCGGGACAGGAGGATTCTCACCTTTGGCACACTTTAAGAGCCCATGGATACTGGAAAGCGATGACTGAATCGTCAGCACCGCCAGACGTTGATGCGATTGGTACAGCTATATCATCCATTCTGAAATAAAGTAGGATTTGCATGTTACAGTATCAGGAGATAAAAAATCTGAGGGATCGTTTCGAGATGAACAAAGAAAATGTGAGAATCTTACTGGACGAGTCCCCAATCTTTCCATAATACTGATAGAGGGAGAAGAAGAGAGAAACAGAAGAAGGAGGCGGAGAAAACGAGACGCAGACAGACTTTGGGGCGAACAGGCTCCGCCCACTTTTGGTTGCTTCTCTACGTGTCCCGGGTCGAATTGTGAAACCTTTTTTCACAGTAGAGAACGTTTTTGATTGAAATAGTCTATATGTACTAGAAGAATGAGAGGGAATGGATGTGAAGGGTGGGGATAACAAAAGAGGGAAATAACAATCTGAAAGAGACATATTGGAAGTGATAGACACATTTTGTGGAAGTCTTTACGATATTCAGAATCTCTTCTCCACAACCATACATCTCAATTTGAGACAGGAGGAGTGTTTAAGGAAGGCAACAACCATGTCTTCTGAACAACAGCGCATTTCATCATAAAGCTATCCGAAATTTCCCGAGAATACAAAAAATTCCCTCGTGAGTGAGAGACCTTGAATCGGAAGCCAATATCATACATTTCTGCTAATTGATTCAAAAAAAAAAGAAGCATGTGACACAAAGATCCATGGCTTACCAAAGAACCGAAAATATCGTCTTTTGAGAAAATCCAAAAAAATTTGTTCTGCCCATTACGAATGAAATGGAAGCTAGTGTGTTTATGTTATAGATATTAAAAAGAACGATCAATTCTGAAAACATCGAAATGGTTTTATTCTGGTACAAAAAAATCGGAGATGTGGAAATGAAACGCCGGTGGCCGTGGCCGAAGATCCCACAACAAAAACTACAGCAACCTAAAAATATGTTAACTTTTCGAAATTAATTTTCAACTGAAAACTCGAAAAAAATTTTATTAGGTTACTGTAGTTGTCGTTGCGGGACTATAGGTCATTGCCATAGGCGTTTCTCATCCACAGCTCAATGCTAAATGTTTATACCAGAAGAATATTTTTGGAAAGAACAGTTCTTAAAACATCGAAATGGTACAGCTAGTAGTCGGGAGGAATCTGCTTCACAAGTCAAACCGATTCATATTGCAGCTCATTCTCTGAATCTAGACTCTCCGTCTTCCCTCAGAATTGTCAATACTACGTGCATTTTCCCTAAAATTCAGTGATTCCTTCTCTCATCGAAATTCGTTATCACCATTGCCCTCATCATTTTCAAAAATTTAAACGGAATGTACATTTGTCTTCTTCCCTCAAAAAGAGTATATTTCCAAAAATACATAAATCATTTTGAATCTAGACGAAAGAGAAAAACAGAAATGTTGTAAAAACAAATTCCATTCCAAGCTACAATGATTAATCTTTTTCCAATCATTTATTGTGTTTTCACACATTTTTGTACTCCTTTTGTTTTCCTTTCCGCTTACTCGTCCCTCTCCGTGTAACACTTTTTTGGGAAGACGGAGAACAAGACATCGGTCGAATATGGTTAGATGACGTGGCAGAACCGAATGATCAAGAAAAGAATTCAGAGTGACCGTAACTAATAGAAAAACAACGGGAGGAGGGAAACAACATCTAGACAACGGACAGTGACATTTCGTTACAGAAGAGAAAGAGGTGTACTTATATACATGAAGGACATTGATATGGGTGTCAGTTTTCTTAAAAACCGTACAGTTATGACGTGGCTCAAAAGGTAATTTAAAGCCCCGGGAAGAAGAGGGAGAGAAAAAAGAAAAACAAGATAAGAAATGAGCCAGAAATAGAGTCCAGAGAAGAACCGAAGCTCAGTGACTCGCCCGCCGTCGCCGACGTGACTACAAAACTTGGGGCATTGTCTTTTGGAGGGAGAGACAAACACGTACAGTTTTTTGTCTTCGTTTCCTCTAACAATGGCTGATAATTCAATGAAGTTGTGGTTGATTGGCCCCCAAAAATGGTTTGATAACGATGAAGAAACGAGGGTGGATAGGTGCTCAACTGATAAGAATGAATGAGAAATTGAAGAACCAGGAAGTAGAGAAAAAACGACGAAAAGTGTCCCGCCTTTCTATACGAATCTTAGTTTTTTGAGAGGGATAGATGAAAAGGTCCGAAGGGCACGAAATGTCAAACAATGCGGAGAGCAGAAATGCGGTGGTCGCTGACCAGAAGAGCAAAAAGTCGGCGGCTCGAGTTTCAGTAAAGTCATGGTGGTCTTTTGACTAGTAACGATGGATCAGACAGAACATGTAATGGTGCCAATCAAAAAGTTTAAACAGACAGGACGGCTCGTCTGCTCTTCTATCTCACTTGATAAACCTAAACTTTTTAATAAATTTTATTGTAGTTTTGGGGATTTTCTTGTTCTAATTTTGTTTTATAACTTTTCATATGGGTTTTTATTTTAACTCTCAGAATTATCAACAAAATATTAAGGTCAAGAAAATATATATTTTAAAATGATAACTTCTAGAATTCCTGTTTGTTATTTTCGGCCCATCTGTTTTGGTGCCCTAAAAGCATGTATTTTTTTACAGGGAATCGCAAAAAAGAAAAAAAACAAGTCATAAAAATTCTCTGCTTCAAGAATCTTATAAAAATCAAAAACTGAACATATATTCTCCATATATACCCCGAGGCTGCCGTTCCTTTTCGTCACCCACTCGTAATCAAAAACACTATATTTTTGAACCAGCGGCGACGGTGTTCCCGAGGGGTCAAATGTGAAATGCTCAAAAATTGGAAGATCAGACATCTGGAGAAGCCACGTCACTTGTGTGAACCACTGAATTGTCTCGTTTGGGTACATGCCAATGGACGGAGGGCAAAAGAGACGGGACATAGAATGAAGAAAGAGTGTTCTCGAGTTTCAACCGTCTAAAGAGAGAAAGTAAACATTTGAAGGGATGGCCAAAAAAGGAAATGCACAAATTTTTACTTCTTGGGCATTAGACAAATAGTTCTTCGGTTTTTGAATTCTATGAAATGAAGGTTTTTGGGATATAAGTTAAAAAGAAAAAAAGTTGGAGCATGTTGTAAATTGCATAAAAATGATTATGAAAAACGAAATGAGACATGCAAAGAGGAGCCAAGAGCATTTCGAAAGACAAACAAAAGAACAAGGGAGGGGCCCATTCGGTCGGAATAACAAGGCGAGAGAATAGACGGTCAAGAAGAGGAGGAAGAGAAAAAAATGAGAAGGCGAAAAAGAGAATATATTCAGATTTCGACAAACATCTGGTGGAAGTAAGAGAGAACGGAAATGAGCGAAGAAAAGAGAGGAAGAGATGGTTAGGTGATGGGTGCAAATCGGGTGTGATCGAAGACAAGACGATGGTTTTCAAAGAAAACGCGAGAATGATGAAAAAAGACGTGGAAAGGGAAAAAGGAGAAGATGAATTGTATTCAGAAGATGGTCAAAAAGATGATACGGATCGCTAAGGAAAAGAGATCATCGTTCAAAGAGGAAGGTTCAGATAAAAATAGCATACGAATCTTTACTTCCGCGTAATGTGAAAGAAAATTTATCGAAAAGATATTGCTTAATTTGGAATCAATGGAATTTGAAAATCGGAGACTCTGTGAATTTTGAAAACTTTATAAAAGCCTGGTGAATTCTCCTAGGCAGACTGTAAGTAGACAAAGAACTCAAGAGTTTTACAAACAAAATATTCAATTTTTTTCTGGAAAACACCTATAAAAGTTTGCGTAGTTCGCTGAATGAAAGTGAGGGCAGAAAGGGTTGTGTTTTCCAAAAGAATCGAGAATCACATGCAAAAGGAAAGAATCTAGGTTGAACAGTGGTGCAGAACAATAATGTTTTTGAAAAGTCGTCAAAAAGAATTACTGTGCAAAAGAATATAATCCAGAAAAAACTAGGAAGGACGCAACATTTTGTTCCGGTTGGTCGGGAAGGAAAAGAGAGGGCAGAATCACAAGATTAATCCGGATCGCATGATTTCAGGTTTGGGGAAAACTTATGATATGACAAACAGCTTTTTATAGCTTTCTGATTTTCTTATTTATGATTGAAAAAATTCCTGTCTGGAACAGAAATAGAAATATTTATATTTCAACAACGCCTCCTCATTTTTGAAAACATTCTCTATTGTTTTCTGTTTTCTGAGATTTCTAGAAACAAAAAAAAAAGAAACGGAACAAAGTGCCCCGTTTTTTTTCTCGAAACACCAGTAAGCTCTCATTCTTTGGTGTCGAGACGATCCTTCATTTTTTTTTTGGTTATCACGAGTTGGAAGGGACCATCTCAAGGGATTAACGAAGAGAAGTCAAGGAATATTCTTCTGAAAACAGATACCCAAAAGCTTGGGCCAAAAGTGCAAGGTCCATAGTTTTCTCTGCCATCGGAACAGCGGATAAATGGAGCATGCTCGTGTCAGGTGGCAGATTGTTTATAAAAAGAGCCAAAGGGACAAATCATCGGTCAGCAGGTGTTGGTCAGTTGACCAGTGAGCATTCAGGAAGAGATTCTGAGAAGAAGGGATGGAATAAAAAATTAGGGTTAGAATCGGGAGTAGGATTAACTGGAAAAAAGTGAAACTTGGAAGAAATGAAGTTGACGGGCTGGGGACAAAAGAAAACGAGTGGAAAAACGATTGTTGATTGGAAGAAGAAGAAGGCAACACATGACGAAGAGGGCCCCTTCGAAAAAAAAAGTTACAAGTGACACGCAGACATAATAAATATGACCTGTGATCGCTCTGCTTCTCAAATCAGACTAACTTTTTTCTCATTCGAAAAGAAAATGAGAGGACGGTGGAATCATTGAAAACAATGTGCTCTTCTTTTTCTTAACTGCGCAGTGTCTTGTCACATGTTTTCGTCTAATTCTATTTGACCTGAATAAATGAAAAAGACAAGCGAAACGATGGGGTGGAACATTGAACAACTCTTTTTTTTTTTTGGCTTTTCAGAATATAGAAAGAACCGGATGTGCGGAGCACTGAGCTTTCACAATTGATTACAACGCGGAAGAGATTCTGAGAAAATCTATCAACTTAAAAATTTGGGTAGAACAATTAATGAGTTAATTCTCTAGAGTCACTAGAAAGAGATTGTCATTGCTCATCAGAGTCGGACCAGAAATCTATAGCGTCCTTCTGAATTCTTGGCTTTCTATCATGAAGAAAACCTTCTCGAAGGTAGTCTAAAATAACCTTTTCGTTAAGATGTTATTTTTCTTTTTCTTTTTCTTCTTCGCACCGTGCACTGAACACCTGTCTTTTTTAGCTTTTCACGAACTACTGAACAAAAAAGAAAAATGATTGTTGCGAAGAACTTTCTCCATGAAATTCGATTCTTGGTGCAGAACAGAGAAGGATCAGATGCTTAGTGCAAAACACAAAATCATTTTAACAAAAAAAAAAAGGTTTTGTGTCAGTTTTTGATACAATCCAATTTTTGGACACCCAACAGAGGGACTGGAATCTCGTGACTTTTTGGTGTTAATCTTTTGTCGAAATAATGCAATTTGCTCATGTTTGCAACAAGATGCCATCGCAGTTGTTGAGGTCGATTCTCAAAGAAAAAATAGCTCTTGCTCTTTTTTTTAGCACGGAATGATGAATGGAATGTGACGACTGGATGGATGGGATATATCAGATGCCAACGTCACTCTCCGTTCTTCTATCACAAAAACTTTCTCCTTATCACATCGGGAAAGATAAATTATGCTTTTTCCGAGAAGTATCATAGATCAAATGGAACGAAAGAGATGATAACAAAACACCGTTTCAAAGGTTGTTTATGTTGTCAGGAAGAGGACGAAATTGTATGTAGTACAATAGAAACTTAGACATTTTGTTTTGTGGAAAAAAAACATAGAAAAAGAAGAACTTACGATTAAAACGATTTGTAGAAAAGTGAGAAGATGGGGAGGAGTAGTGAGGAGGATTTTCGAGTGATCACCCTTTTTTCTTATCACTACTGACACGTGTTTTGATACTATCTAGGCTCAGAGATAGAAACAGATGGAAACGTGAAATTGGACACAAATTTAGGTGGCGACTTCGTAAACAAAAAAGAACGAATTGCAACGAAATTTTGTAAAGTTACACAATTTTCAACTTTCGAGGAAAATTCGATGGTTTTCTAATTTAAAAATTCTCTAAAACCTGTGACCGAAGGTCCCCTAACTTTGAGCAATTTCCTACGGTTCCTGTTAAAGCTATAGAAAAGTTAGCATATGATAATTTGTTTATCATAACATCAGAAACATTTTATCAGTTGACACTTTCTTGATATCTCTTATAGGAGCCGAGAAAATTGAGCTCAAACTTGAGAGTATGTGGTCCCCTTTATTACAGGTTTTACAGAATTAATCTGAAGTTTTGAGTAAAATTTTACCTTGAAAAACTATTACTTGTTGTGGAATATCTGTCTAGAGGCATAGGGACCAATTTATGAATGGGTCTTCAACTTTTTTGAATTTTCCAGCACCGTCTCTCAAAAGCTCCAAACCACGATAATAAAGATGTTGCTTTTGAACTCTTCACCGGAATAAAACAAGTGTGGTTTGTGAAACTTTACGTTCCGAATTCTATGGGAACCTTTTGTTTTCTCTTGTTTTTTTTCCTCCCAATTTTTGTTTAGGATTCTCATGATCGCTCCGTTTACTAAACAATTTCCGGAGACAACAACCCATAAAAGTGATGCGAAAACAAGCCGAGTCACGCCGTATCCGTTTCAGATATTCTAGAATTTTCTTTCTTTTCAGTCAAAGTTCAAAATTTTCTATTGTTGTCTTTAGACCCATTGTTATGTGTTTTGTTAAAAATGCAAAAGCTGACGAAAAATGCACAGTTGTTTTTTATGGGGAAAGCTAGGAATTATGAGAAAAAGAGAAGAAGAATAATCAATTTTTGGGTTAAATGAGTCACGTGGTTGCTCATCTTCTTCTTCTTCTTTTTCTGGATCGAAACAAGCCATGAATAATAGAACAAGAAGAAAAGGGGAGAGGTCCCCAGAAAAGAGAACGATTTTTGATGCACTCTTCCTATTAGAAAAGAGAGAGAGAGAGACCAATTTCAAATCGTTTTATTCCTCTCCCGGATGTTTTTTATTTCAAGGTCACTTCTTCACAGATTCATGGATGGGTTGTGGTGTAAAGAAGGAAAAAAGAAGAAAATAGAAGGAGAGGGGTGTAGTTTGGAGTTCTGAGAGCAAAAAGAAGAAAAAAAAAAGAACCAGAGCATGGAAGAAGAAAATAACCACCAGTGGAGACAATGTCCTTTCGGAAATCGGATATGGGTACGTCTAGATGAGTCAGTAAAAACGTGTAAAAGAGTAAAAGGAAGATAGAAGAAGACTAAAGAAAAAGAAGAAAAAAGTAAAGGTAGTCTTTGAGAAGAAAAAATAGAAGGCGTCAAAGCGTGTCGATGTCAATGTCCCTTCATCTGAAAACTAGAAGTAAATGGAGAAAAAATAAGAGGAAAATAGGAGAAGAACAAGACAAGTTCTATGTTTTTCAAAGTTTTTTTTTCCATCTACACTATAAAAAGTGATCCTGAACAGTCGAAACTTTGGTGTCACTTTTTGATTGAGGAGTAGTGAAGGAGTGTTCCTTTGAAGATAAAAATACATGTTTGGAGGAATATGAAGGGAACTAAATATGAGTTTCAGATAGAATACCTTTTATGAGATCTAAATTGAAGCTTAACCTACGAAGCAAACAAAACCTCTATTCGCTAAACTGTCCAGTGAAAACAGTATAGAAAAATTAACAAAAGTATGAGCTTAACTTCAGGGGTGTTCAGAATGGCCTTTCCGGAATTTTGCGTGGAAAATTCCGAGTTTCAAAAATTCGGAATTTTGGAATTTCGGAATATTCCAATTTTTAATTTCGGAAATTCGGAATCCCACTTATTACTAAAACGCGAAGAAAATACTAAAAGTAATTCCGCTCGAGTCCCGCAAGGGAACTTCCGTGGGATTTTTGAAGTATCGTAATCCGAAAATTTGGCTCCGCGTCACTTCGAAACCGCGACACTTCGAAACCGGTCATTTCAAAACCAGTCATATCGAAACCGTGGTATTACAGACGAATGGATAAATTTCGGACTACAAAAACAATTTTAGGGTTTTCAAATATGCTTTTTCTGATAGAATACATTTAAAATTCAAAAATTCAAGGATTTTCTTCTTTTGAGAGCATCAAATGTTGTATTTTTTTTAGATTTCAGACTGTGTTCTATCAGAAAAAGCTAATTTGAAAACTCTAAAATTGTTTTTGTAGTCTGAAATTTATCCATTCGTCTGTATTACCACTGTTTCGAAATGACAGGTTTTGAAATGACCGGTTTCGAAGTGTCGCGGTTTCGAAGTGACGTAGCCAATTTTTTGAACCCGTCCCATCTCACTGTAAATTTATAGAAAGTAAGTTGTACTGCAGAGATCACAATATCACGGTCCAAAAAATCATCACACATCAGTTTCCTTTGAAAATTCAAAATACATTTTACGATCGATTCTTCACAGTTCTATCTTTCAGCTGGTTTTTTTTGTGTCTGAAATGATTATTCCACCAAACATCGTCATTTAATTACTATCTTATCACTTGAATCCAAAAGAAAGATGAATGGATCAAAAGTCAGAAAGAAGAGAAAGAAAAAACATGAACACTGCCAGTCTTTTGTCCTTTTTGAAAATAATACTTGTGACCCTTCTGATGTTTTCTCTCAGCAAATATTCGATTATTATCAACTGCAAACATAGACAGTAGCCATTGAAAAAGGATCGAATAGAAGGTGAAGTTTTGATTTTTCTGCACGAATCACAAAAACGACAATTGGCAAGTGCAGGAGGCACAGAATGGCGCCATTCTTCAGTTCGTATAGTTGGAAGCATGAGAGCAGAAGCTTCTTCCGAATGTCACAGTTGTTTTTGATCATTGATCCATGCGTTCGATGACAAAAAGAAGAAGATCCTTATCATTGATAAGAAAACTGAGGGTTGATTTTGAAAAATAATCAGAAAGGGTTTTGAATGAAACGGACAAGAGAGAGTACAAACAAAAGGGAAGAGTAGACATATTGTCTTCTTTTTGAGTACACAAATAGAAAAAATTGGTTTTTAAAGGAAAGTTTGGGGATCCTCGACTACTTGAGACTCTCTGTAGTTTCGTTGAAAATTTACTTGAACTCTAGAACTTGCAAAGTTGACCTGATACGAAGAAATAAGAACATAAGTTTTCGAAAAGAGCCTTAAACAGCCTGATTCCCAAAATGAATGGAAACTTCGAGAAGATATCATAATGAAAATCCGTCACAATCCCGTTCATTAGCTCCTCCTTTTCTTTGTATTCATAAATTCTATTAATAGAAAGATAAGAGATCAAAAATGAGATATAGGTCTACTATTTGTTTATGCAAATGTGAGCTATTGTGTCGTTTATTTTTCTCTAAAATATGAGCATTGTATCTGACACAAAAGGGATGACCAGTGCTCTTTTTCAGAACATTGATCATTATCTTTTTCGTTCTCTTTTTTCTAGTTTGTATCCTTCTCCACCCTCACAATCTGGCCTTTCCCAAGAAATGATTCATGTTTTTCAGAAGCACTTAACCCATTTCCCATCTTCTTCATTCAGCTGGTTTTCGTGTCAGCTGCTCATGAACTTTCTTTTTGCCGCTTTTTGCTGCTTTTTCTTTCTTTTTTCCACATCATCATCATTAAAGATAACAGCTATACGAAATACGATTTTCAGCAATAGTTCTTCTCTTCAACCTATCATAGTCAAGTTCACAAAATAAAGATCGCGAAATGATGACGTTGTGTTCCCTATGAGGGATCAACATTGGGGTGATCGGGAAAATGAGATCAGATGACTGGAAGTACTGTTGACGACAAACACACCCCAGACATTACCAAAGTTGGACGCAAAACTCTTTTGTGTCGTTAAAATAATTAGTGGCGATCTTTTTATTACCCCCAATTAGGGATCGTTGGAGAATAGTACTGTATTGTCAATAGTTTTGAAAAGGGGTGTATGATGAAATAGCGATAGCTAGTTTCAAAATTGTTTCTTGCAAACTGGAATGAAGATGAAAGGGGTTGAGAGAAAGTGAGAAGATGGACTTCAGGAATATTATTCGAAATTCAGGCAAATGAACCAAAATTACAATCTTATTGGTATGACAAGATTAGTGGGTTACTGTTCGAAGACAACCAACAGAACCTCAATCTTACTGCTTTTCCGTTCATATCTGAAGAAATTGGACTTTTGAACTTGGAACTTGGTTTTCACTTGCAATTAGAAAGATACCATTCTTGGAAGATTTTGAAAAGGGGACTTCGACTAAAGCATTTTATTGCACCAAAATATTTCCAATGTTATGTATTTTTCTAAATTATTACGAAAAATTAAAAAAAAATTCCGGGATCCGGAAAATAGCCGTCGAAAGTGAACATTTTGCTGGAGAAGATTGCCATGTAGAAAAGGTGTCCCGCCGCCTTGGCCTAGGTTTCTCACTGCGCGGGAACTCAAATCCTCGCCCCTATTCGTCATTTTTTGTTTTGTTTTTAAGATGTTTTTCGGAGATTTTGGATTTTTTTTGAATTTCGCAAAAATATTCGGAAAATACATGCCTAACTTTAAAACATTTCACACATCACAATTTCTGGTCGGGATCTCCCTTTATAAATCAAATCGTTCATGTTGCTCTAAATATGGAGATGTACCTATTGATCTGTGAACGTGACTATTATAAACCTTCGCCAAACCAATCTAAACCAAACTAAACAAAATTTACGACTTTTCCCAGCTGATGATACAAAATATCCAAAAAATTTTCTTTTTGTGATTTTTCGTATCCACTCAAAAAAACGATCAAGAAGATCGTTGTTTTTTCAACAGTTCAAAGTTTGAGAAGCCATTGACTTTTTTGTTTTTCGTCTTTCTTTTTTCTTTATTGCTTTTCATTTTAGTGTGAAAAATTGAAAACAAAAAGTACCTTGGAATTTGAAAAATAAGAACACCCATGTTTTTTTTTGAAATTGAGAGCAAAATACTAATAGAAAATAGAAACATACATCGGTTTGATATCAGATTTTACTATTATTTTGTTATCGTTTCAGATGTTTGTGTTTTCAGTTTTTTTTCAGCTGAAGGGTACCCACGGGACAATAACAAAGTGGGTCATGTGGTTGGCACCAAAGGTACGGGCGGGTCATTTGGGTCCTATCCTTCTCTCTGTCACTGATTGCAAACATCTGATTGATCAAAATCAACCGGAAAACAACAGAAAACTGACTTGAGGGTCAATAGCCAGATGGCTAGAGATTCGAGGATCAAGAAGAACTTTTTGAGCAGAATGAGGAGGAGTAGAAGGTCAAGAGATTCTTTTTTGCGAAGGAAAAAGAAAACAAGATATGAGACCCGGAAATAACATGAATTTGATAGAAAATGTAAAATGAAACGAAAAGTGTCTAGAAAAGGAAATCGAAAACAAACTTCCGAAAAAGTTATTTCTTCCTGATCGTTTGTTCTCTTGAAGCAAAAAAAGAGATCCTCGAACTTTCAAAAAAGAAAGGAATAGTGGAAGATGGTTCCAGCATCTGAAAAATAGGGCAAATTGACAGTTGGAACTCTTTGGTATAAATTGAAAAAATATTCTGGAACTCTGACGGGCAAAAAACAAGTACTTCGAGAGATAGAATTTGCTAAATGATATCATTTTGTTTCAGCTAACGGGTTTGAAAGTAAACATATGACTCCATGGGATTACACCTTTAAAAGAGAAACAATCGATCATGTGAACGGGGGAAAATTGTTGGAATTTGGCTAAAACACTAGGATTCTTTAATCACCGTATTTCCTCTAATAGGCCCACCTCTATTTAAAGCCCACCTCTAATAGAAGCCCATATGCATTCATTAGAGAGAATATGGTAATTAAAAATTCCAGAATTTTTGGAACTTTTATTTTAGAACTCGATAATTTCTCAAATTGCGGAACTTTCTAATTTCTAAATTTCGGAATTTCGGAATTTTAGATTTTTAGAATTTTTTCCGGAATTTCAGAACTCCTGAATTTTGAGTTTTGAGATCCTGGAATCTCAGAGTTTCCTGAATTCGTTATTATGGAATATAGGATTGCAGAATGAAAATTTCGGATTTTCCAAAACCTTGAATCTCAGAATTCTTAATTTCGGAATTGTCAAATTTCTGAATTGTGGAAAATATTTCATTGAAAAATAGAAGCTCACCTCTAATAGAAGCCCACCCTGAAAAAGAGGTTGAAAAATAAAAGCCCAAAATTCAAAGTTTGCTGCAAAAAGTACTTGCTGTTAGATAAAAGTTCCTGTAAACAATGCTGAGATTCTCGGCTACGTCAGAAAAGAGGTTCATCGATGTCATTCAGATCTGAACATTCCGAAAACTCATATTTCCGAATTTTGTATCAAAAACTCGGGGTATTCCGAGATTCTGAAGTTCCGAAATTTGGACATTCGGAATTTTTAAAATTCAGAAAAATTCCGGAAACGCCACCCTTGCGATAGACTAGAATGAGCCCATTTTTTCATTTGACCGAGAATCACAGTTCTGGCTGGAATCGTTCAATTTTTGATCGTTGCAATTTTTACACCACCTTCAACAAAAAACTGAATGTTATCCCTCTATGTAATTCGGTTCCTGTCCATCTAAAACTGAATAATTATATATGCAAAAGCTCATTTATTCTCAATTCTAAGAAAAAGAAAACTACAAGGTCTCAATAAAAAGCTCTGTGTGTTGTCTCATTTTTAAGCAACTTGTTTTTTCCTCTTTCAGTCCAAAGCATACCAGCTCATTTTTTGTTAACTTGTGGTCTGCTCTCGGGACTTTCCTCAAATGAATAATATTTACCTTTGGGTAATCTTAAGACAGTACACACAACCAATTTTCAGTCTTTTCCAGCTCCAGTTGAAGCATCATAAGACTGGGGTGGGATTAGATTTTAAGAAGAGAAACAATATATCACAAGGGGCGGAACAATAACACTTCTTGTGTCTTTTTTTATTTGCCTTTAAAGTTTGGAATTCAAACTTTTTCTTACTAGATTATTGTTTTTGAACTGTGGGGAGAATACTTCAAACATTAATCATATTTTGAAATTTTCAATGATCAAAACAATGGGAGCGCACGCACCGAAAAAAAAACAGCCTAGACAAAGAAGAAGAGGAGAGCAAAAACAAAGCACTCAAAAACAAATAAATTGAGGCATGGAAGCGATTTTGAGATGACTTGAACAGAGCAGAGAATCAAGTGTGTATGTCTCTCTGTGTTGTACTCAATCAGTTAGATTCAAATATTTGAACAGTCAGAGAAGAAGAGAGAAGGGAACTACTGTCTGCAATAATATCATGAAGATGTCTCAAACTTGTTTAAGTCAAGTAAACCGGTGGGAAACAGCAAGAAAAAAGTAAAGAAATACATACACAAATAGACACGAAAAAAAACGAGAAGCTAAATGGTAAAATGGAAAAGAAGGTCAAACAGTCGGGGTGCGAGGGCGAAAATGTTGCGATCTTTGAGCACTGAGAACACTTTTCGGAAAAGGAGTTTGGAGTGAGTTGGGGAGGGAGGAAGAAGTGATAAAAAGCGACTGTGAGTCACTGATGATTTTCTATGTTTGGTCACAGTTCCCTGGGAGGTCAATACACAATTTGTATGGTTTTCGGAGAGAGAAAATATTTCAGATAACATATGTTTCGATTTCATGGAAAACAAACTGAGAGAAAAGTAGTGAAAAATCTACCTTGAAAACATATCAAGACGAAATGCTGAATAACAAATTGAACATACTTGTTTCCAATACACTACTTCTATGTACAGCCCAAAAAATGTCTGGAAATCCTTGCGTAGGGTTTCATGGGTTTTGAAATTTTTTTTAAAAGTTGTTGCGATATTGTAATCAGCAATCAGCAATGGCTACAGTATCGGACAAATAGATTTAATTTCAGAACATTATCTGTGGAGGAAAGACATCTCTAGTTTCAGAAGAAAGAGTACAGAATTTCTAGTTTTGGTCTCCAAACTTTAGAATATAAATTCCATATATAGTATACCCTACATGGTTTTTATATACCATATACGGTTGATAGTGGACATATATGGTTAACATGGTTAAAATAATGGTTTGTTTTTGTAAATTCTTTCAAGAACTTCAAATATGGCTGTTTTCTATTGCAAATGTCAAAAAGATATCAAGTCAAACCGTTTTAAGTTAGTGTCCAATACAGTGCACAGATATCAAACTATCAGCGAGTCAATAAATTATTGAGTTCAAGTTCCGAAAAAATCACTGAAAAGGTGAGATCCGTCTTGAAACTTAAACAAAAAAGGTAAATGAAAAATGGGTCTCAAAAAGACGGTCTTGGATAGAATCATGAGATTAAATAGATACATGTCTTATGATACAAATCCAGATACCTGACAAGATGTCCACCACGTCATGGAACATCCAAATGAACGATAAATCCTTTTGTTCAAACAAAGGCTCTTTTTTTGAAGTGAATCTGTGATCCATCTACGTGAGACTCACTTGAGAGTTCTTGCCGTGTAAACAGTAAGCGGTTTGCGAACTGGACCGGCTCTTTTTTGTTTTACTAACAGACAATGTGGAGCCAATGTGCACTAAACGAGAAAAAAACGACACTTCAAAAAAAACTGAAATGGTGGTGAATGACTTTAAAAATCTTGCAAAGATCGGCAGGAGTCTGAAAATAATCCGATTGCGGTTTCAAATAAATAGAAGACGTCATGAATTCAA